GTGGTTTGGGCTTTGCTTCTGTAAAGACTGACAGCCTTGGAGACCCTGAGGTGCAGTTCCACTCTGTCCTCTAGGGGCGCTGTGGGTCAGAATCGACTCCATGGCAGTGGGTGTGGTTTGGGCTTTGCTTCTGTGAAGATTGACAGCCTAGGAAACCCTATGGGCAGTTCCACTCTGTCCTCTAGGGGCGCTGTGGGTCAGAATTGACTCCATGGCAGTGAATATGGTTTGGGCTTTGCTTCTGTGAAGACTGACAGCCTGGGAGACCCTGTGGTGCAGTTCCACTCTGTCCTCTAGGGGTGCTGTGGGTCAGAATCCCCTCCAGGCACTGGGTGTGGTTTGGGCTTTGCTTCTGTGAAGACTGACAGCCGTGGAGACCCTGTGGGGCAGTTCCACTCTGTCCTCTAGGGGCGCTGTGGGTCAGAATCCCCTCCAGGCACTGGGTGTGGTTTGGGCTTTGCTTCTGTGAAGGTAGGAGCTCTGGTGGCGTAGTGCCTAAGGCACTTGACTGCTAACCAGAAGGCTGGCGGTTCAAACCCACCAGCCACTCCTTGCAAGGAAGATGGGGGCAATCTACTTCTGTAGTCATACTGCCTTGGAAACCCAAGGAGGGGTTGCTATGTGTCGGATGCGACTCGATGGCACATAACAACAATAACAACAGTGTAAAAAGAATGAACTGTGGAACCAAGAAGAACTGGCTGAAATCCAGGCTCAGTTGTTTTACTACTTGTGTGACTCTGTACAAGTTAGTTAACCTCTGTGGAATTCGGTTCATCATGTTGAAAACTGGGGAAATACCACTTATTCCAGGCGTGTGGTGAGCTTCAGATGACACACTCCAGAGCCTGAAACAGGGCATTCCTGCCCTTGCACCTTCTCCTCAGTCTTGTACAGAAGCTAGAACCAACACAGGAAATGACCGTCCCCGGGAAAACAAAGTCAGAGGCCCCAGTGAGCAGAGGAAGAAGAGACAGCTCGTGGGATGTCCGACCCACCGAGCACTCCTCTGAGCAACACTTACTCCCCAGCAGTCGTGAGCTGTGTCGGCTGGCACGCTAACACAATCCCTGAGTCTCAGCAACCCAACCCCACAACAGGACCCAGTGAGGTCAGCAACATCTCCTCTGCGTGGAAAATGTTGATTCTCCCCAGATGAGTACAAGTGTCCTTTTCATGAAATGCAGAAGAACTCTTGGGGACCAAGCCTTACACAAAATGATACACTGTGCTGAGAGTGTGCAGCTGAGAAACGTGGCCCTTGCAGGTCTGCATCGTAATTCACGTCAGCACCGGAGGAGAATACGGAAGCGCATTCTAGGCATCGTTTTTGCATAAAAGAAAGGATGAGTATGTCAGCAACATTTCTTAAAAACCAAAAATACAAAAATCCAGAAAAGAAATCATTTAACCCTAAGAGATTTCATGTTAATCAGATCGACAAATTTTTTGCTGCTTACACAAATCCCTGTTAAGCTTACGTTGGTAGCGGTACTTTCTGAAAAGATTAAAAAAAAAAAAAAAACTCATTGCCATCAAGTCGGTTCCAACTCATGGCGACCCCACCTTGGGTTTCCGAGGCAGTACCTTTATGGAAGTAGATTGCCCAGGCTTCCTTCCAGGGAGTGGCTGGTGGGTTTGGGCTGTCGTCTACCCCTTTAAGCGAGGAACCCTGGGGACACTGTGGTCCAGTGTGTGGTCGCCAACTGAAACCCACCCAGAGGCTCCGCAGGAGACAAGACAAGGAGACCGGCTCCTTTAAACACCACCGAGGAAACCCTCGGGACAGTTCCACTCTGTCCTCTAGGGCTCCTGTGACTTGGAATCAACTTAACAGGACACGACAGCAACCTTTTAAACAATGCTTCACAAGTAAAACAGAAAGTGCTTCTTGTTCATGTAATTCCATGTACTGCGAGAGATGACTAGCCCTAAGGCCCCCATGGGCTCAGTTTCCAGCCAAACAACAAGCCGGTCTACAAGGCGAACAGGAACCCCAAGGAGGTCGGTGCCCCTTAGACCACCCAACCATCCAGCAGGCAGGGACGGAACAGGAGTGGAAACAGTAACCCCGGGGAGGTGGGAAGAGCGCTGGTACCCCGTGGGACTGCCGTCCGTGTCACCAATCAGAATGGGCACCAGCTGCTGGATGGACCATCTGTCCCGGAAACTTCCACCCCGATCACAGTGAGAAGGCAACGGGGGAGATGCAGAGCGTGGGGGCGGGCACCTACTTCACGGCGTTCAGGTCCAGCGTGGCATACAGGTAGTACAAGCACTTCATGCGCTCCGTGGTCTCCAGACTGTGGGGTACCATGTACTGGGCGAAGATGCGCTCCACCAGCAACCTGCAAATAGCACACACATCACCGCCGGCTCGGCCGGCCATGCGCCCTGCGCTACCTGACGCTGCACACACACACAGAACGTGGGTTCACGGCTCCCGCCTTCCTGAGCGTAGGCGAGGCTTCCCAGTGGCAGCCTGCTTCCTGTAAGAGGGTCAGAAAGGGTTCAGTTCACGTGGAAATGGCCTTGCGCCCGGCTAAGGGAGCAGCTACCTCTGCCTGCCCTGGGCAAGCTGCCCACCACTCAGTGCCCTTATCTGGACGAGAACGGGTTACCAGCTTACACCAGGCCCTCCCAGTGACAAAACTGTACTCAGTAAACTGAAGACTACACCAAGATGTTTAGGATTCTTAGTTTTCACAGTGAACATCATGAAAAACAGAAAAGATCTAGTTCAGAATATTAACAGCTCAAGCTACACGTTGTTGTTGTTGTTAGGTTCCGTGGAGTCAACCCTAGCTCACAGCCACCCTGTGCACAGCACAACGAAACCTGCCTGGTCCCGGGTCATCCTCGCTATTGTTGCTACACTCGAACCCACTGTGGCAGCCACTGTGTCTGTGCACCCTGTTCAACAAATACTATCACGTTTCTAGGAGCCCTGGTGGCATAGCGCCTAAGGCACTTGACTGCTAACCAGAAGGCTGGCCCGCCAGCCACTCCTTGGAAGGAAGGTTGGGCAATCTACTTCTGTAGTGATACTGCCTCGGAAACCCAAGGAGGGGTCGCTATAAGTCGGATCCAACTCAACAGCAGTGAGTTTTTAGTTGCGATCAAATTTCTGGGCACTAACACCACACACTCAAAACATCTGAAAAAGTCAATTTTACAAAAAGAATAATTAGAAAGATTCTTAGACGACATTAACTGAGACGATCACTTTCTAGGTCTGTAACTCTACAAATCACACTGTGCCTACTGGTTCTTCTTTTCTCGTTCTGACCCACTCAAGGCAAGACCACGTGCCCCACTAAGACTGTCAAATCACACACACTCCGATTCACAGCCCTGTTAACTACCGAGGAGTCAGACCACACACGCTGTGACCTTCGCCTCAGTGGAAAACCCTGCGACTGTCATCACAGAAGACATCTTTAGGCACACGGGGTTTTCTCCTTTAGACTTTTGCAAGAATCGTTTGTGATGAAAAGAACTGCCTATGGTATGAAGATCTTATTTATTTCAAGTAGAAAACCAGTCTAACCCATCAACAGATCAGAACGGAGATTCAGGTCGGGGGTATCAGAGGGCTGTTTCCTGCATGGTTTGTCCCCTCGCTTGTGTTCACAGGACTCTGAGAAGCTGCAGGAATATGAAGGTGTGGACTCACGGCCCAGCACCGTCCCCCGCGAGTGGAGAGGGACAGTACTGCTCGGGGCAGAGCCCTGTGCTCCCCTGTGCCACCTGGACAGAGCCCAGGAGCGTGAGCTGCCGGGAGTGTCCGCATTGGACGTATAAAGGATTTCTTTCCATTTGAATGGCAAATGGTTACCTGAGAAAAGAAAAGAATTGCAAGACTCATTCTAAGAAAAAGGAGCCAGAAACACAATGAAGATTCTAACTGCAGATGCACAGTCCAAGCGTTTAGGCATCACTCTGCTCAAAAACAGGCCATGCACGTGAACATCAGCTAAACCCCTCCCTAATGTTGCACAGACTTGACAGCCTGCTCCAAATACGGTCCACTCACCCGCTTCACCTAATAGTAAGAACGGAACAGGGAGTCCAAAGTTACAGACTCCAGATCACAGGTAGGTAACACCCAGATAGCCAAGTATTTTATACAAAGCGTCCTCCACTGACCGGTCATCGATACTGTTCTGATAATAAATGTGCAGCAACTTGTCCTTGATCCACGCGATCTGCTTTGCGGCGTCCTTGCCGGCTGCCGACTGTAAGGCGTATTTCTTATAAATCTGTGCAAGTCCCATCATGGCTTCTTTGCGCACTCGCCACTGAAAAGAAAAACAAAGACATTTGCTTATCATTTCAAAATGCTTCCATTAATAACGGGCCAAGTTTTCTAGTTTCAAATTTTCCTATTTTGGACACTGTATTTTTTTCCGGTTTTAGATTCTGAATATCAAGTCACAATGCCTATATTTACAAGAAAACAAACCTGCTACGTTAACGCACCTACTCTAAAAGGTGCAGCAGACATCCAGCAGGTGCAAAGACTCTCCACGCTGTGGCATCTTACACCACCCCACCCCAAGAAGCCAGTGTCGGTCCACATACTGCCACTTAGGACTGGTGAGGGGCAAGTTCAAGAGGCAAAGACAGAATTGGGTGGGTAAACGGTGGCCAGATGCCTAAGCTGCGGCCTAAACTCGGCACACTCTTACCACATTAATGTCACAGTAACAATCCACACACACTACAGGTACCTGTGTTACTGCTGTTCTCAAAATACTGACTGTTCTTACCAAGGATGGATAGGTGTTGGATTTCGTTAAATGCCTTGTCGACATACACTGACAGGATCATGTGGTTCTTTTATTTTTCTGATGTTGACTCATCCTTGCATACAGGGTATGAATCCCACTATGTCATGATGTGGTATTTTTTTTTATATGTTGCTATAGTCAATTAGCTAGAATTTTGTTGAAGATTTTTGTGTCTACAATATTCAGATATCAGTCTGTAGTCTTCTTTTTTAGTGGTGTCTTTGCTGGTTATGCTTGCTTCATAAAATGAAGCTGGGCTGGGAGTTTGTTGAGAATTTTTACATCTGTGCTATGAGGGATTAAAAAAAAAAAAAAAAAAAAACCAAACACCAAACTTGCTGCCATGGAGTCAGATCTGACTCATAGCGACCCCTCCTTGGGTTTCCGAGGCGGTATCACTATGGAAATAGATCATCCACTCTTTCTTCCCAGGAGTGGCTGGTGGGTTTGAACTGCTAGCCCTCTGGTTAGCAGTCAGGTGCCTTAGGCACTATGCCACCAGCACTCCTTCATGAGGGATATTGGTCTATGATTTTCTTTTTAATGATGACTTGGCCTGGTTTGGGTATCAGATGAGTTATGTTTGCTTTATAGAATGAGTTTGGTCCAGTATTTCATCCTTTTCTATGTTCTGGAACAATATGAGTAGAATCATTGTCAGCTTTTCTCTGAACATTTGGTAGAATTCACCCATGAAGCTGTCTGGGCCAGGACATTTCTTTTGTTGAGAGGTTTTTTTTTTTTTTTTCATTTTTTTTAATCACCTGTTCAAGTTCTTCTTTTTTGATGGGTCTGTTCAAATTTTCTTCCTCATTGTATTCATTCAGGTAAGTATTGTTTCTAGAAATTTATGCATTTTTTCCAGATTTTCGAATATGTTGGAGTAAAGCTTTTCATAAAACCAAAACACCAAACGGATCGAGTTGATTCTGACTCAGAGACCCCACTGGGTTCCCAAGGCTGTGAATCTTTACAGAAGCTGCCTGCTTCATCTTTCTTCCATGGAGCAGCTGCTGGATTCAAACCACCAGTTCTTTTGTTTTGCAGCCAAATGCCTTAAACACCACACTACAAAGGCTCCTTAAAGTTTTTTTTTTATAGGATTCTGTTGCTATCCTTTTTATTTCAGTAGCTTCTGTTGTGATTTCGGCTATTTCATTTCTCTTAAGTGTCATTTGCGTCTTCTCCTTTTCCTCTGTTAAATTTGCCAGCAGTTTGTTGATTTTGTTAATCTTCAAATAACCAACTTCTGGTCTTCTTGGGTCTTTCTACTGGTTTTCTGTTTCATTGACTTCTGCTTGAATATTCGTTATTTCCTTTCTCAGGATTCTTTGGTTCTGGAAATTTTGATTATGAAATGTCTTTGGTGATTTACTTCTGGGTGCTAGCCTATTTGGGATTCATTGAGCTTCCTGAATGCATATCTTTTCATCTGTCATGATATTAGAGACTCTTTCTACAAATCTTCAACAATTTTTCTAGTACTTTTCTTTTGTCTCTTCCTGCTCTGGAATTCCAATCACACTTAAGTTATTCCTCTTGATGATGTCCCACACAAATCTTAAGCTTCTGTCATGTTTTTTATTTTTTTCCCCAATTGTTCGCCTATAGATTAGTACTGAGATTTGGCTTCAATTTCACTAATTCTATGTTCCATTGATTCAATTCTACTCTTTTTATCCTTCCAATATGTCATCTATTTCTCAAATTTTAGTATTAATCTTCTATATGACCTTTTTTTTTCTGTTTTTGTATTGTTTACAATTTTTCGTTTATTTTTTTCAATTTGTTCCCTTTTTTGTGGGGGGGGGGGTTATAGAGAGCAAGCCTTTAATGAAACACTGCACAAACTAGGTTTATAGGACACTAGCTGAAATGCTTTTTTTACTATTCGTTCTTGCTTTATTTTTTTTTTTTTAATTCTTCTAGAGTTTTGTCTATGTTTTCCTTGATTTTGCCTGTACTTTCCTCATACTTTTTCTCAATCCACTGAACCTACTGAAATATGATTCTTTTGAATTCCTTATCCGAAAGTTCCAATAGCATTTCTTCTTCTAGAAGAGTCGTCTGGCCCTGTATTTTAGTCACTCGCTTGAGCCATCTTGTCCTGTTTTTTGTGTGTGTATAATTTGAACTAGTCTGCTATCTCTAGGATACTGTAGTATTATTGTATTAATTTGTTGATTATAAGTTGGTTTGCTTTGCCCTAATTTTTTGTTTTGTTTTTATAGATTCAGGCAATGAGGTAGGCGTGTTACTCTGATCTGTAGTTTGGCAGCACTGGGAAGTTCACAACCTGTCTCTGGGCAGATTTGGTTAACAGGTGGGAGTGTGGGGACAAGTCTCTGATCACTGATTGTGCAGAGCAGCTGAGGGCAGGCTGGGCAGGTGCTGGCCACTGCCTGTCACTGGCCTAGTAGTGCTGGAATGGGTGGTGGCACTCGTCCAGTGGGTGGGGCAACAAGTGTGGTGAGTATGGCTGGGTAGAGTCGCTGGCTCTCAACTGCTAAAAAAACAGACAAAAAGGGGGAATGGCAGAGGGAATAAAGGGGGATTCGAGAATGAAAAGAGAAAAAAGAAAAAGTAAAAGAAATATAAACAAACAAAGAATGCGGCAAACAAACACGGATGTGCAGGAATGGAGTGCTCACTTGGTGGGAGCATGGCCTGCCCTGTGTGTGTGTGATGAGAGGGGGGCTCCTGTACTTTGAGAACCCCCCCCTTGCAAAAAACAAATGAAAAAGGGCAAGGGGAGGGAAAGAAAAGAGGGTGGAGGCAGGAGAAGAACTAAGCGGAAAGAAAGAGAAAATCCAAAGCGACACAGCACTGGCAGTGGGTGAAGTATGACTGTCTGCTGGGTGAGTGGGGGTGGGGCGACATCTCTCGTCACCAGGAGGCTGTGCAAGGTAAGGGAGGAGGCCACACCTCTCTGGGTGCCTGGTCACCAAGGTGGGTGCGGGTGCAGTCCTGGGCAGGTGGAGCCACTCATCTGGTTCCTGCTCCAATTGGAACGCTGCTTGCAATCATTCAAAATGGCCGCTCTGTGGCGGTCAGCAGTTTATCGCTCCTTGTTCACTGTTTTCATCAGTCTCTTCTTCTCATCGGGATGGGATCGACTTCTTTATCATTTCCTTTGAAGCTCTGGGATCCAGGATTGTCATCCATAGCAGTTTCCCTTGTTTTCTTGAGTCTCTGTTGCCGAGGGTCTGGAGGGAGGATCTGCCTGGTCTGCAATCTTGGATCATCCCCAAAAGGATTTGCATTCAACTACCGAACTGTTTTTGTGAACAGCAGTTGAGCACTGCTGAACCGCTGTGGGATGGATGTCTGCTTCAGTTTTACATAAACACGGCGCTGTCATCAGCAGGCTGGCAGGAAGTTTAGACCACATGACTCATCCTGCCTCTGCAGTCTCTCACTCACAGCAATGTTCTTCCTTGAGTTTTTTTCCTTCAATTAATTACAGCAGATTCCAAATAGTCCTTTTTCTCATTCATGTACACTGGAATAAAGGACTTCTAAAAGTATTACTCATAAAATCATATTATCTCTAACTCTAATTTCCAAATCTACTGCATTAAATGGAATTAAAGGACAAAGCATCTTCTAATACCGCCAGGAACATGTATATATTAAATTATTTTTGGTCCTCAATTTTAATGTAAATGAGCCAATCAACCCACTAAGAGCCCAACAGGATGATCAACCATGTGGGAATTCTGATCCAACAATATACAGTGACCTAATTCAATCTTCAGTGGGGCCAAGGACAGGAAGACCTGCGTATTTAGGAGGCTGTTAGCATATGCACGATACCAACGTCCTTGTCCTTGATGCCTTTTCGTTGCTTCACACCCTGATGAAATGTTCAGTAGAGACAACTCTGAGCTCATCCACTACAGGAAGTTCTCTGCAGACCAGGAGCCGTGGAGGGAAAGCAGGCAGTTCCGGCCTACCCCATCAACAGCCAGCATCTTCCAGGAGAGACTGAGAGACGAAGACGGCAGCGTCAACCTTGGGAGCCGGACACTAAAGCGAGAAGGCTTGACACTATTTACCTCGTCAAACCTTCACAGCGACCAGTAGCCTCTCACGTTCTTTACTGGCCAACCCCTAAGTTACAGAGTTTCATCCTTGTTCCTAAGGACTCCTGAGCCCAAATTAGCATAGGCTGTGCCACAAGGAAAGGCCACGGGGAAGAGGACACAGGGAACAGGCACTGAAACATCTGCTGGGTGTGTTACAGACTCCAGGCAGCGGGGATCCAAGAGCGAGATGCATCCTCGACACAGACGCTCACTGGTGGGAATAAGTGAAGCCAGCACTGCCCGCTTTAGAAGCAGGGTGTGGGGTGCCAGAAAAGAGGCCACAAGCATGCTGCGGTTCGGTCGGCTTGACTACGCTGAAAAACACCTTTCATCTTCTAGTCTGAGGAACTACCACACAATAAGCTAGAGGACTATCAGCTCACATCCCTGTGACAAGAGCCCTAAGAGGAAAGACAGGAGAGAGCCAACAGCACAAGAGAGAGGGACCAGAGCCCCTACAAAGAGTCAGGCATCTGGAAACAATTAGTCCTCGCGCCTAGTACACCATGTGATCCTCAGCCCATACGACTATGAGACCAGAAGCACTAGATGGTTCCCGGCTACCAATGTCAACCACTTGGAGGGGGATCTATGGAGGAGATCCTGGATAGAGGGGGAGAAAAACATGGAACAAAACTCAAAATCACTTGGAAAAAAAAAGGGACCAGGTTTGCTGGTCTGATAGAGCTTGGTGGAACCCCTGAGACTGTGGCCTCTAGCTGCCCTTCAGGTCTGGAACTGAACCCACTCCTGTGGCTTCCAGCCAAACAAAAGACAGGCATATGAGTTAAATAAACATTTACCTCAAGTAGATACACTCCTTGGAGGGAATGATCATGGGAGAAAGAAGGGCTGCTTATGCACAGGGAGACAGCTTAGGAGGCAGGAGTGCATGGAGGGATGGACACAGGGAAGAGGTAACTATGAGGAGGAAGTGGGAGGGGACCTGTTGCATTGTGGGAAATTGTACTCAATGTCATGAGACAAAATGCATGTGAGCAGCTGTATGGAAAGTGAATTTGCTCTGTAAACTTTCACCCAAATCACAATAATATTTTGGGGAAAAAAAGTCATGTATCTCTAAAGGGGGGACAGGCCAAACTTCTGGCTAGCTGCCACTGACAGCCACCTCACTTTCAAGGATGAGTCAAGTCATCTTCATAAAGAAAAACTGAAAAGCTTAACAAAAGCCATCTCCAAAATTCTACCTTAAATGTTAAATGTCTCTCCCCTCAAAAACAGATGTGCATTTACACCTGAATGTTTCCCAAACACCGCAGCTCTGTCTTTACAATGAAACCTACTGGTCATCACTGACCCTGCCGACTTACCCGTTTGTCTAACGTTCTCTCTCTCACAAAATTCAGTAAGTGATCGTTGACCAGCAGGATGTCCTTTTTAGCAGCTGTAACGATAGACACGATGACATCGTGTCTAATAGCTTCTTCGGGATCATGGGACCGCACCTTAAGGTACTCTGAAAGGTAAGATTGCCTTGGTTAGAATGCAAACTTCCACAGGGAAGATGCTGAAAAAGACAGCAGAGGATCTTTGAAAACCAAGCATGACCACACCAAACCCACCTGCAAGCGTCAGCGGACGTTTGCCCAGAGCCACTGTGAGTTGGCATTGAGTCAACGGCAGTGGGTCTAGATTTTGGTTTGGGGTTACTATCTTTAAATTAATGGAATTTGTGGAGGAAAGAATTCGCCTCACACTGTGCTGAAAATCAGCGCAGGTGCGCACTGCGGTGGGACAGATAAAGGGAAGCAGTCAGTGACAGGAAAGAAAAGGCCCCTCTTCTGCAGTGACGGTGGCGGTCAAAAAGCGGGCAGAGTGTCGGTGAGGCCAGGGGAAAGAGGACAAAGGAGGCCGCCATGAGTCGTCTGAGGAAAGGGCTACCCTGGCCAAGAGGCCCAGCACCGCCTCGGCCCCGACTGTGTGCACGACCTCTGCGGTCCCTGTCACCAAACAGGACAGCAAAGTCAAAGACAGAGGAGCTCCAGTTAGTCATTGGGAAATTAACTGGCTTTACACGCCGCTACATGTGAAGAAAGAAAAAGGAAAAAGCACTTTCTGAGGACTTGTTTCAGTAAAGTGAAAAGAAACTGTAAAAAATGAGAAACTGAACAAGAAATTTCCAAATCTAAAGTAAGTGGAAAATTAAAATAATGAAGGATATGAAACAACTAAACTAAGGTGTTATGATGCATTTGGGTATCATAAATGTGATCACTTTAATGATATCACTAAAAAGTCTTTTCTAGAAAAAATGAGGGAAGTTTAAGAGCCATGAGAATGGTGACTCCATGCTCAGATAACGCAAATCCTTCAAGCTCCATGAAGACAACAAATGACAGTGAACACTCTTCCACAGATGGACACACCCGAGTGACTGCACGACCCCGTGCCTAAGAATGGCGTGAACAGGCAGCAGGAACAGGAAGGACACTCTGTGCCCTGGAAGGGGAACCCCTGACTCTAGGGCCCAGGAAGCAAAGCCGTGCGTCAGCAGAGGGGAAACCGCGACCTCAGCCAACACAAGCCCCATATTCCTCACAGAGCCCCGGAGTGGGCAGGAAGTCCTGCAGGGTCTCAGGACAACGGAGAGGAGGGAGGGGGGAATCGGATGTGGAGGAGACCCCACCATCCACCTAGGACATGCCCCACTCCTCCCCAAAGGATGGGTATAAAAGAATTCTATGCAAACCGTAAATTGAGTCTCTAAAGTGGGGGACAGCAGATACAGGCAGGGCAGAGATGCCATCCCCGACAGAGGGAACTAACGCTGTGACAACAGACCCACCATGACTGCTGAGACCCTGCATGCTCTTCCCAACGACACCAGCCACCGGATGTTCCAGCTCAGACAGGGCCCTCCTCCAGGGAAATCGCGCTAGCTCCAGAGACGGCACCCACACATCAGCCCCCCACGAACATGCCCGTGACCACCCTCCACGGAGCCCAAAGCTGACAAGACGCCACGCGCTAAGCCTTCTACACGGCGGTTCACTGAGTGCCTGCTCTGAAGCATCAGCAGACAGCCGCAGACGGTCAGGCGTTTGAGGAAGGCGTTTGAGGAACGTCTCTAACATGGAAAACAGAGACCAACGCAAATAAAACGAGGGGAGAAACCAAGCTGGAGAGAGAGAGATTTTGTATGGAAAAGAAAACTTGGCCCCAAAATAACAATTAGTACTCTGAGAGAAAATACTGTACCCACAGTATAAGGAAAGGAAGCTAAGGAAAGGGGACATGGGGGGAGAAAGAGGGGGGAGACAGGAAAGGGGGAGACACACAGGGAGGGACAGAGAATAAGAGGTGCAGAGAACTGAGGAAGACAACCAGAGGGAAAGGTCGGAAGAGAAAGACAGGGTGGGGGAGGCATGAGGGTGAGGGTGGCATGAGGGCGGGGGAGGCATGAGGGAGGGGAGGCATGGGGGAGAAGCTATGCGAAGCCTAGGGAGCAGGAGGAAG